CACATCTTATTGATAGGCCTACCATAGAAAGTGACGATTAAATAGAGTTGGAAACAGCAAACCTAAATCTATTGCCTCCTAAAATAGGAAATTGGCCACTTCAGCCTCAATTATTCAATTTTCCAAAAAGACGATATGGGACATGGATAAAAACTATATCAAAAAGATGATTCAAGGGTGATTGGCTCTCTGCTTGGGGGTGGCTCCATTATGATTAGTCTGATGATAAAGTGTATTGTTTTACATACATCAAGAAGCATATAATGAAGGAAACTGTCAACAAAGGTGATGAATCCTGCATTTATATTCTCTGGGTACTGTAACTGGAAGCAAGCCATGTCGAATAATAAAGGTTTTAATAAATATGCCACCTCTGATTGCCACAAAAAAAAGCAGTAGAATGTCTTTTAATAATTTGAGAGAGCACAAAAAGTTTAGTAGAAATGGCACGAAATCTTAGTGAAATAAAATGTCAGTCAAATCATAAAATGCTACTCGATATATTGTCTAATATTCGTTTTTTAGCTCGACAAGGTTTGCCTATTAGAGGCCATTGTGTAGAAGGAGAATCTGAAATGATTTAAATTTTATGCAATTGCTTTACTTAAGATCTGAAGGCATTCCAGAAATTAAGGACTGGGTTAGAAAGTGTATTGACAAATATACAAATGAGATGAGGCAAATTCTAGCTCTAAATATTTTGCGAAATATAGCTTTATCTGTTCATAATTCTCAATTCTTTAGCATTGTAGCTGATGAAACAACAGATATTTCAAAAAAAGAATAACTTGTACTGTGCCTCAGATGGATAGACAGTGAAATGAATCCTCACGAAGACTTGATAGAACTCCATGTGTTAGAGAAAACTAATGCTGCAACAATAATAGATGTCATTAATGATGTTGTAATCCACCATATGATTTTATCTTTAAGTCAATGCAGAAGCCAATGTTACAATGGCTGTAGTACCATGGCTGGTCAACAAAATGGAGTTGCAGCCAATATATAGAAAATTGAACCACAATATTTATACAATTATTGGACACTCTCTTAATTTAGCATGCTGTACACTAAAGCACATGAAAGTAATGAAAGATTCTATGGACACTACATATTAAATAATAAAACCGGTTAAAAAATCTCCAAAACAAGATGCTAGATTACAATTAATACTTAAGCCTACAAGTGAGGAATCTGAAAACAGATGAACTGGAATCCATTTACTTAGTCCGACCAGATGGACTGTGTGAGTCCAGGCACTGAAGAGTATTTTAGATAATTTTGACACCCTTAATGAGTTATGGGACTGGTTTCTGTCTCAGCCATTAGATAATGATATGAAAGCAAGAATAAGAGGAGTTCAATCTCATATGACCCAGTTTGACTTTTTTTTGGTTTGATAATGGTCAAATGTTTGTTATGCCATGCAGATAATTTAAGTATCAATTTGCAGAAAAAAGACACATCTACTGACGAGGGTCAACCTTTAGCAAAAATGATTGTGAAAACACTGCAAAGCACGCAGAATGAAGAACAATTAAGTTTTTTTACACAAATTGTGTGCAGAAAGCCAAAAAAATATATTCAGTTAATGATTCAAAATTTCCATGTTGTAAGACGGGATCCAGCTCATTTTGAGGAAGGAAAGGCAAAACATGAATACCCAAATTCACCAGAGGATTATTATTGACAGATTTATTTTCAGGCCCTGGACCAAATAATAATGGCACTCTGTGACATGTTTGAACAGACTGATTTTAAAATACATGTCCATTGTGAACAGCTTCTTATTAAAGCAGCTCGAAAGCAGGAGTTTGGCCAAGAACTGCTACAGGTATCAGAATTTTACAAGTTTGAATTAGAAACCCATCTTGAAATTTTTTCTGTGAATTTTCCAGAAGAATAAGATGTGAAAATGCAAGAAATATTTGATTATATTAAAAACCTTAGTGAATCTAAAAATGAACTGATTCATCCTGTAGTAACATTGGCTAATATAGTTCTCATAATGCCAGCAACTAATGAGAGTTTTTCAGCACTTTAAAAAGAATAAAAAACTAATTGAAATCTACCATGTCTCAATCTCATTTGAATCACGTAATGATGTTAAATATATATATATATAAGGAAAAAAGCCATTTCCTTGTCTCTTGTTGAAACAGCCAATGAATTTGTATTACATTCACCACATTGTTTGGAACTATTAGGAAAATTCACAGATTTAGACCTAGCAGGTTCATCAGTTTTGAAGAAAAAAAGGGTGACTATTACCAAGTGACTTCAAGAGATATTGACTTCAATGCTTTACTAAATTTACTAGACTAAGTTGAAACAGTTTTAGCTGTATCTTGTGTCTAATAAATATATTATCTATTAACCCATCTTTTCCTCAAGTTAATGTCTAGCTATATGTCACATACAATGAAGTAATCATAATAATACTTTTGATAAAATCACTTTTGACTATTAGCTCAAAATTCTCCTGTAACTTACTAATGTATTTTACATATATATGGATAGTATTTCATATCCAGAACTCTCTGATATCCATCATTAGATTCACTATTTAAAAATAAGTACAGGTGTAGTATTTTATTAAATTTTTATCTTTTAATTTCAAGTAACAGAAAATATCTCCTCTCATAATCCAATCCTTTGAAAGCATTTTGACCCCACTGAAGCCTTGGGTGCCCCCCTCCCCATTGTTTTATCTGTGTGATGCCAATGGTTTGGGTGACAATAACATACAGCTCTGACAATTTTTAGGTAGTAAGAAATGGTGGCAGATCTATTTATATGACTGCTAGGAATATTAAACCTTTCTTTTTCCTTCAAGTCTATGGCCTTTCCTAGTAGCTAGAAGAGAGCTGACCTCCACATATCATCTCTACTCCTCCATGATTTCCTCTGTCTTGAAAGAATTTTTCCTCTTAAAACCACAACATAACATGTTATCAAGAAAATAGTTTCTTGTAAGGTCTATACATTCACCAGTTATCTGGTAAAAATTTTAACAAAATATCTTATTTGTCTTTAACATACATAACAGTATAAGCCTTCCCATAAAATATTTGGAGGGTGCCTTCATATGAGACAAGAATCTTGGTTATTAGGTTGTCTTTTCCTTTATTCCCTTTGGATCAAAACACTTTTTCAGTTCCTCCATCAATGTGCTCTGCTTGTTTTATTCTCAAGTTGACAGGTGATGACAAGGTCTTCTGTTTTGCACTTTTCACTATCAAGATAAGCATCTGTGTAGCTGAGGTCTTGATTCAACCTTCACAGTTACTAACTTGTTAAAAATTGGTCCAGAAACTGTCCAGGTCTTCTTTAGCAGTCTCCCTCTCCCTACAAGTTAGTAGAGTTACAGCTTTTTTATTTACTCAAGCTGGACTAATGCTTTTATCCCTTCATTAGGTTGCCTCTCAAAGACCAAATCCATCATAGACTCATAGCTATAAAAATCTTTCCACATTTTACTACAAATAACAAGTTAGAGAAATAGTCATATATGTTTTGGCTAATGATAGCAACTTTGTTTTAATTTTTTGTTCTCTCTAAAGCAGATTGTGGATATACAGTGCAACACAATAGGAATATCAGTAAAATTAGAGAAGAAAAAGACCCTGACTCTGCTCTCAATCTTTCTCTTTTAAAACATAATGTGGATACATAATGAAAAATATCAGGAAATTTGGTAAAAGAGAAAAGTATTGACCTTATCAAAAAAACAATTTTACTTTTAGCTCTTTAATTTATTGAGTTTTCAAATTTAATACAGCTATGAATATTTTTCTTAGTTTATATTTATCAAAAAGACAATTTCTTTTTCCAGTATTTCTAATACATTTTTAACTTTTGTAACAAAACTTTTCTAAGATCATGTATGTATTTGTAAGTAAAATCTTTGGAACTCCGTATAATTCACACTTAGATTTTCAAAATATTTTCAACTATATATGCTATGAAAACATTATATTACTTATGAAAACTATCACAAAAAAATTGTAAAGAAAAACTGACCCACACCAACTTCTTCAATCAAGATTTTCTTTAATCTATACTAATAAAATTAAAACATTTGTTTGTTTGTCTGAAAACTACTCCATGGTCTTTGGACCAATCTCAACTAAACTTGGTAAGATGATACACTGGACCATGGGGCACATCATAGGTTGTTTATTACTCAGCCCCACCAATCTTCGGATACACCCACAGAAAAAAAATATGTTTGTTTAGTTAATGACTCTACAGTTTTGGACCCATTTTTATTTGTAAATTTTTCTGTTTTAGTTATTTTCTTGAATTTGTTTTAGTTTCCTTGGAAAATTTAGTTTTTTCAATAAAAATGTCAACCATTCTCATTTTTTTCCAGGAAAAATGGCAACCAAAGCACAAGATCAGACCCTTTAAGTGGCAGGGCTACATCTGAAAACCCCTTGCTTTTCACATGGTCAATTCTACACTGGATGTTCAATAGTAGAATCACCAAGAAATCTCCTTATTTTGGTTCAGGAAGAAGGAAGAACTTCTAATGTGGTATATCAAGAAGAACTCAAGGTATCAACAAACACTGAGGCTGTAGAGAGGAATTAGTAAAAGTAGTAAAGTAAAGTAAAGTAAATGTAATACCATTTCTGTAAACTGAATAAAGTAAGTGTGAAATAAAATAGTTATGAATAAAGTATATGTGAAATAAAATAAAATATGTGTGAAATTAATTATGCATATAAATACAAGTATATGGTTTAATTTATGAGTTCAAGCCCTACATTCAACTGTTATGCCCACGGACATAGGTTAAGCGCCTCAGCTTGTAATTAAATTAAATTGGAAAAATTCATAATAAAAAGTCATCTAAGTAATAGAAAACGTTCATAAAACCAAACATAATAAAATTCAGATCTGAAATGAAGGTGGGATTTAAACATACATGAAATAATTTGTTTTTTGCATAAGTAAGTATATTAAGTCTGAAGATTAATCTATGAACAGCTTACCAGTTTTAAGCTGCTTACAATAACAGCCCTCCCTCACATGGTAACTGATCTGAGATTTAAAGTCATCTTCATTTCCCCTGTAGAATTTGACAATCCCAAACTTGCCACATGAAGCCTTGTTACCTATAAACAACAAATGTATTAAAACATACTTCCAGTCATAAGATCTAGAAAAATGGATATCTATGAACAATTTAATATTAACAAAAAAGAAAAATGACTTCTATATCAAGAATATGTTTTATAAACAAGCATTAAAATAATAACTATAAACATTAATAATGTTGCCTGGAATGGGTTTTGTAATTTTAAAATGTAATACTTATTCTAAAATTGAAAATATCCAGGTGGAATAAGTTAATCTTTTGACTTTTCATTAATAGGAACACAATATTAAAACAGCTTATAATATTATTTTTAAAACCATATAGTTTATCTCTTTAAATAACATATCTATATATGTATTTATTTAAAATATCTAAAATATATATTTCTGAGTACATATTTGTAATTGTGATGAAACAAAATGGCAGCTATAAAAATCACCCATTTAAAACCACCTTTAAAATGTCAGAATATTAATAATAACTTTTTCACAGTATTGACTAAGCAAAACAAAAGCTTATTATACTTATAAAGGCACCTAAATCGCTATATACATGTTTATGGAGTGAATAAAAATTTAACTATTTCAAACATTTTCATATAAGTAAGTAAGTAAGTGACTTTTCCAGACAAACATACAGAAAAAAAATGACAAATCTTATCACTCTAATTCTTTCACAGAACTCTTCCGTCTGGGGTCCCAGTGATTCCTTTCTTGTGTCAAAAAGGATTCAAATATATATATATAAAGTGGACGATGCACTACTTTGGGCATATAATTAGATCTGAGGGTAGGCTGGTAGAGGTCCTGATAAGTAATAAAATTGAATCTGGTATACATGCACCCCATGCTTGGTATTGCTGGAGCACAAAAATATAGTTAATAAAAAGGAAACATACAAGGGATTCATATGTATGTAATCTCGCTAACTATAATAATACAGAAAGTTTTAATGCTACAAAAAGTATTGAAACAAGAAAGTCAAAACTACAAAATCAGAGTTACTTAAAATTTAAAAAATGTAATCCCTACTTTGGCTCAGACTAACATAATTACAGTGATTTGAAACAAGAAAGTCAAAACTACAAAATCTGAGTTACTTAGAGTTTAAAATTTTTCATCCCTACATGGGGCGAATCACTGTAATTATGTTATTCTGAGCCAAAGTAGAAGTACATTTTTTTAAATTTTAAGTAACTCTGATTTTGTAGTTTTGACTTTTTGTAGCATTAAAACTTTCTATATTACCATGGATAGCTAGGTTTTTTTATACTTATAAATCCCTATTTGTTTTTATAAATTTTAAAAATTTCTTACTATACTTATATATATATATATTTTTTTTTAAATGGAAAAATTACACATGCTAACTTACCTACACCAGGAAGTGTCTTGATATCAATCTTGAGAACTAAGGAGATAAACATATCAAAAGGTTTGAAATTATTTTCGAACACAACTTTGTACTAGATTTAATACTTTGTGTATAGAAATATTTTTGTTATTATCAACTATATATTAAAACATAAAAAATATATAACTGAACAGATACAAAAGTTACAGTACCCTACAACTAATGTATTTACATTCTACATAACTTCAGTTTCAGTTACCTTGTTCATATTTGCATGCTATTCTCTAGATCTTTAACAATTTGACTTTCTACAACAGTCTTGTATAAAATGAGATGAACTTTGAAAACTAAGAATTTAAAATATGCATATTTTAACAATAGATATGAAAACCGATAAGTCTTTATATTTTTTGTCTGATACTTCAAAATTATTATTATACATTCTATATCTGTTTACTTGTAAAAGCATATAAATTTAAACAGTTCTTGGTGATAATTGTCTTATACCCAAAACCTTTTGATAAACAAAGGAAATATTTTTTAATAACTTGACCATACTGAGAGTCAGAAAAATATGCTACAAGCAACCATACATAAGTTGGATGAAAGTGATTAATATGAATTAGTTAATGAAGATGGAGAATTTTTTACATTACTATTGTAAAAACAGAGAGAATTTTATTCCATGTTTGAAAGTTTAAAAATCAAAAGAATGACTGTGTGTGTGTTTTACTTATAGCAAAGCCACATCAGGCTATCTGCTGCGTCCACTGAAGGGAATCAAGGCCTTGATTTTAGCTTTGTAAATCCACATACTTACCTTTGTCCAAGTAGATGAACAAAAGAATGACATCAATGGAAATATACATTTAATACTATTTGAAGTAGTTCTGCAAATAATATTTGTATAATACAACTTGAAAAACATACTTTTTTGTAAAAAAGATTTGGCAAATTTCAATAAAAAGTTGCTTTATCTACTAATTTCTGATAAAATATGGTTCAACTTTTAAAATATCTGTTGAAATTTTACAATATTACAATGAGAAATTTTGCTGTTCTTGTTTTATGCTGAGAAAAATTTGCAAGTACATAGTTGTATTGTCAAAATTACTACTGATTTTAAAAATGAACATGCTTTGATGCTTTTATTAATTCATTTGTCATGCTGATTTCTTTAAATGGATCCATGTCGTTGTTGTTATACCATAACATCTTAAGTTATTTTTAATATAAATAACTATTTGATGTAATATTTCAAAGATGTAAACATTGATTAAACACATGGAATTTTTTATGAACTATCCTAATAATATTAGCTTAATTGACATCACTTATAAACTTGGCAACAGTTATTGGATTAAGATTTTACATAAGTAATGATTAGTAGAAGTGTTTGTATGAGAGTGGTTAGATTAGTTAATAAATGGAGAGCTGGAGACCTCAGGTGCAGAGATATAAGAGATAGACTTGTTCTTAACAATTTTTTACAATATTCTCTTAAGTTTTTAGTGCAAATTTATTAAAGAATAGAATTTGCCAAATTTATTTCTGTCAAATTCGAAAATGATCAGGATTTAGCCAGAAGAAGATCAGGGGTTCAGTCATCATTGTATGATTGAAGTAGATTTTGTATGGTCAGCATCTGATAACATTATGCTCCAAGCTGAGCATATGCTAAAGTAACAGCAATCTATCCAGTTCTGGCCAACTGCCATCCCAAGAACACAAAGTCTCTCAACAGTATTTAATTACCCTGTGTCTACTGGGAGAGCAAAGAAAGTAAAATGGTTCTCTATGCCAGTGACTCACTCTGCTCCTTACCTTGGCAACCAAATGATTTAAACTTCAATTTGCTTTCCAAAACATAATAAATATAGTATGAAAAATAATAAATAAACCCAAAATTATATTCATGTAGCCAGTACATAAGCTAATTATGTTTACCACTACAAATAAATGTAGTTAATACAAAATTTGTACATAACAACCACCTTGACAAGAAAAAATTATAAGGTAAAATATTCAAAGTTACAAAATAGTTTACTGCACAAGTTAAACATTCTTCTAAATCAAAATTACCAGATAACAATAGGTATACTAGGTGAGTGATCCAGTAATTTTGACTTCACTTCATAAAGACAAAGTTATAAATCCTATATGTTCCAGGGCCACAGCTTGAAAATATTCCTTTATAACATAACATAAAATTTTGGGACAACATGGGTCTATTGGTCCATCTCGTGCTGTTCCATTTTCTAAACTAAACTAAAACTATTAATAACTAAATTAAAAAAAAAGAAAAATCAAAGCCTGCCTTTATCATACATATATTTATCAAGCTTTCTCTTAAACTCACTTAAATTTACTGCCTTCACAACATCTGAGGGCAACCTATTCCTAAGGTCAACCACCCTGTTAGAAAAAATAAAACTGTCTTAGCTGAAAATGACTCCTACCCTGCCAAAATTTATATTTGTGTCCCCTAGTCCTACTATTCTCACTGTTAAGTATGAAGAAAGATGATGCATAAACACTATCAATTCCCTTTACAATCTAAAACACCTCAATCAGATCCCCCCCCAACTCTTCTTTTTTTTCAAAATAAAACAATTCAACAGATTTCAATCTTTCCTCATATGACAACCCCTCCATCCCAGGCACCATTCTAGTAACCCTTCTCTGAACCATTTCCAACAATTCAATGTCTTTCATAAGGTAAGGAGCCAAAGACTAAACACAATATTCCAAACGTGGCTAACCAGTAATTTATACAATGAAATTATAACCTCTTTAGACTTGTATTTAATATTTCTGTAGATTTAACCTAAAATCCTATTTGCCCTACCACTAGCAACAGCTCACTACTTGGACATCTTTAGAGACTGATTGACTATTACACCAAGATCCCTTTCCTTCATAACACTATTAAGATTATTCCCATCCAAATTATACTTATAATTCAAATTATGCTAACCCACATGCATTATCTTGCATTTATTATAATTTAAACCTATTTGCCATTTATTTGCC